TCTACACATTTTTCCATTTCCTTATCTTCCAGCATTTATATTCATGTTTGACATTACATATTGTTTATGTATGTGTTTGCTGTTGTGCCCTCGGTAGAACATAAACCCCTTAAGGGCAGCACATGGAATACTAGCACATGTTGATCAACTAAGGTTTGGCCTGTATCCTGAAGGCAGGAGGATCTGTTAATGGAGAAAGATGTATAGCCCGTTGTTCACACAACTTGTCTGGCTCCATGGGAGATTCCAGAGTCCACTTGTACTTGTGCTCATGTGCATATTTTAGTGGACCTCTCCGTAGCTTTCATCTGATCCTTTAGCAGAACTGTGACCTAAGAAGATAAAAGCATTCTTAGGAGAAATGGGAGAGTGGTGCAAAAGCCACAAGATTAGAACCAGAAAATCCCGGTTACTCCCTTAGAGAGAGAGAGAGAGAGAGAGAGAGAATGAATGTGTATGTGTTTTTTTGTTTTTTGGTTTTTTGGGTTTTTTTAGTGAAAATCACCAGGGTAGGTGGTGCACACCTGTAATCCCAGCAACTTGAGGAGGTTGAGGCAGGAGCATCAAGATTGAGGTTAGCCTCGGCAACTTAGTGAGACCCTAAGCAATTTATACCCTTAATAATTGTCTCAAAAATAAAAAATAGAAAGGACTGCTTAGTGGTAAAGCACTCCTCAGTTCAATCCTCAGTTGAAAATGAGTTAGGAAGCTATTATAATCCAGTTGAGCCATGATTAGAACCTGAAATACAGTTAACAACATTAAGGATAATGAAGAATAGACATCTCTGAGGTGATAGATAATGCCAGTTTCCCTGATCTGATCATTATACATTTTATATGTGTATTTAGATATTTCACTGTATCCATAAACATGCAGATAAACATGTCAAAAATTAAAATACACAGTAGAGATCTGGCTGGGGGTATAGCTCAGTGATAGAGCACTTACCTAGTGTGCACAAGGCCCAGAGTTTGACCCCTCTCCACACACCAGTGCTACCAAAAAAGAAAGAAAAAAAATTTTTAAAGCAAGAAAGAAAGAGGATGTGTGCACAAAGTCAAGTGAGTTTTTACTTAATGACTTCTGATTTCTCTGTGAAATCAAAGGCAAGATCATCAGCTAAAAGTAAGAAAGAAAGAATCAAGTAGGAGACTTGAGATAATGGAAAAGAGTTAAAATAGAAATAGATTGGAGATTAGTGTGGAGAACTAATTTGAAGCTAGAATTTATCAAGACACTAATTCATATGATTGTATGATTTTTCTCCAACCAATTTAGTTGTTATAGTAGAGGAAAAGAAACGGTGAACAGTCAAATCCAAGCTCCTCACCAGAAAACTCTGCATTGTTTAAACGTTTCTCTCTAATAATACTTTTCTCCTCTTCAGCCCATTCCAGATGATGGGATTTACTGGCAGGCCAACCTTGAGAGATTCCACCAACACTTCCGTGACCAAGCCATTGTGAGCGCAGTTGCCAACAGGATGGACCAGGTCGTATCTACATGGGGGTCTGTCAGTGATCATAGGGAATAAAGTAATTCAGTTGCCAGATGTGGCCCTTGGCACATAGCCAGATCTGGGCAACACAACTAATTCTGAATCCCAGTTTACTTTTCAAACCCAGACAAGCAGTGAGATTGTGCGGACCATGCTCCGGATGAGTGAGATTACCACTCCCTCTAGTGCCCCCTTCACCCAACCGTTGTCTTCCAATGAGGTGAGTTTCACGTTTTTGTGCTAGCTTCTAAGACCTGTGGATATTATAACAATTATCATACGTGGAGCCTAGGGTCTAGGCCCAAGCTTTGAAAGAAAAGGTTTTTATTATTTAGATTACCTTCAAGTGGTGAGCACTGAAATACTTGGTCTCTTGGGATCCAGCTTTTAAAAATCTACTTATTTGTCATATATAACTTATTCCTAATTGTTGTAAGAATTCACTAGCAGTGTGTGTAGTGTGCACCTTGTAGTCCCAGCTACTGGATAGGTTGAGGCAAAATAATCACTTGAGGCCAATCTAGGCAACATAGTTAGATCCTATCTCAAAAAAATTTAAAAAGAATCTTTGAGAACCTTGGCATTTGGGCATTATTTGTATTTGACCCCTTGTGTTTGAAGTGTGTGTGTGTGTGTGTGTGTG